TATTTGTATTTATTAAGATATATTTGTATTTGTATTTATTTAAGAGTATGACTTTAACTATTTTATAATACATCAATAGATAGAAATTACAAAATTGAAAGCTTATTTAAAATTTGGTGCAAACTTAAGTATAACAATAAATAGTTACAACAACGATAGATACTTATAACTAATTTTAAAATTTGAGGTACATCCAAGATCAAGACGAACACAAAAAATAAGAAAACAGAAAGATCGAGAAGAGAAGACAGTTCAATCGCAATCACATTATATTTACGGTGTTAAAATAACCGTGAATTATCTTTTTGTAGCTACGCCTTGACGAAGACAAATAGGTGTTTACCAGACTTTGATGTCTACTTGACCTAGTTAATTGTAGTTTATCATAAAGAAGTTTTATATTTTATGAGCTTGAACATAAATATACAATTTCTTGCAGCAAGGTAATTAAAAATACCACATCCAAGAATTTTAGATTTCCATAAAGATATCACATATCGTTTGAGGCCATAGACGTAACGTGTAACATTGTTAAACAAACCATCAATCTTGTGAGACGAAAAAGAATTAAGTTTGCTATATACATTCTCACAGTACATAATATGAGGCACAATAAGTTGAACAGCAAGATTTCTTCTTGTCTCAAGAGGTGTAAACGAAGCTGACATTTTTAGCCTACGCAAAACAACATATACACTGCTAACAACTTTATTAAAGCCAAAGTTTTTTTTAATCTTGTCAGTAAACATTAATAAGCTATTACCAGTAGTAAGTTTCGGAATATTCTCCAAATGTACCACACAGTTACTAATGTGTAAAACACATAGGGCTTAGCAGCATTAAGACAAAGACAATTATCATTGGCCCATTTCGAAATTGCAATATGTTAATGGGCGCGTTTATAAGACGTAGAATATTTTATAATAATACTACGTTTCTAAATATGTTTTTAAGATGTTTGCTATATAATTTTACACTGTTTAATTCATTGTAACATTGCACGATTTTTTCAACACGGCGGCAGTTCAGCGTTGAATTCTAAATACTCTCGACGCAACTATCTCTATTTGTTGCAATTTCATTTGTTTACATTTATTAGCTGTTCATTTGGCAGCATATTCATCAAGCCGTTTCTAAGACGTAATTGTTGGATTCAACAGTTGCCAGCAGTTTCGTAGCAGATGAGCTACGTCTTATGAACGCGCCCATTTTAAAACATAAGTCCTCAATGAGACAAATACAATTGAATGTCATCAGCAGGGCAACCCAAAATATGCTAATAAAAACTTATTTTAAGCGCTTAAAATATGTCAATAAATTCCAAATATATGCTCCACAAAATGCTTTTAAAATCATTATAAGCCATAAGATATGCTTTTAATTTTCGTTTATGTTATGCCTTTAACTTTATCTGCAGCACCTAAAATGTTCTAAATTTCATAAAAGTGTATATACATATATATTTATGTTTAATAATTCATATTTATTTAATTTGCTTTTAAAACATANGGGTTGCCCTGCTGATGACATTCAATTGTATTTGTCTCATTGAGGACTTATGTTTTAAAATGGGCGCGTTCATAAGACGTAGCTCATCTGCTACGAAACTGCTGGCAACTGTTGAATCCAACAATTACGTCTTAGAAACGGCTTGATGAATATGCTGCCAAATGAACAGCTAATAAATGTAAACAAATGAAATTGCAACAAATAGAGATAGTTGCGTCGAGAGTATTTAGAATTCAACGCTGAACTGCCGCCGTGTTGAAAAAATCGTGCAATGTTACAATGAATTAAACAGTGTAAAATTATATAGCAAACATCTTAAAAACATATTTAGAAACGTAGTATTATTATAAAATATTCTATTTATTTTATCACATTAGTAATATAAAATATAATAAATTTCTTCGCAACTGCCACCTAACGAAGCGGCGTTAAATTTAATATAAGCGGTGTAAGTCTTTTCGATCAGCTGTTTAGGCTAAGCCCAACACGTTGAGTTCAGGTAGCGTAAACATTTTCCGCTGGCAAAAATGGCGAAAATTTGCCAGCTGTTGAGCTGAACGGAACTACTCAACTGTGCGTTTCTAAGACAAATAGCCAACGGTTGGGCAACAGCTACGTCTTATAAACGCGCCCATTAACATATTGCAATTTCGCAATGGGCCAATGATAATTGTCTTTGTCTTAATGCTGCTAAGCCCTATGTGTTTTACACATTAGTAACTGTGTGGTACATTTGGAGAATATTCCGAAACTTACTACTGGTAATAGCTTATTAATGTTTACTGACAAGATTAAAAAAAACTTTGGCTTTAATAAAGTTGTTAGCAGTGTATATGTTGTTTTGCGTAGGCTAAAAATGTCAGCTTCGTTTACACCTCTTGAGACAAGAAGAAATCTTGCTGTTCAACTTATTGTGCCTCATATTATGTACTGTGAGAATGTATATAGCAAACTTAATTCTTTTTCGTCTCACAAGATTGATGGTTTGTTTAACAATGTTACACGTTACGTCTATGGCCTCAAACGATATGTGATATCTTTATGGAAATCTAAAATTCTTGGATGTGGTATTTTTAATTACCTTGCTGCAAGAAATTGTATATTTATGTTCAAGCTCATAAAATATAAAACTTCTTTATGATAAACTACAATTAACTAGGTCAAGTAGACATCAAAGTCTGGTAAACACCTATTTGTCTTCGTCAAGGCGTAGCTACAAAAAGATAATTCACGGTTATTTTAACACCGTAAATATAATGTGATTGCGATTGAACTGTCTTCTCTTCTCGATCTTTCTGTTTTCTTATTTTTTGTGTTCGTCTTGATCTTGGATGTACCTCAAATTTTAAAATTAGTTATAAGTATCTATCGTTGTTGTAACTATTTATTGTTATACTTAAGTTTGCACCAAATTTTAAATAAGCTTTCNGCCCTTTGAGGTAAAATTTTCGAGTGCCGAAAGCTGAACTAGAAACACAAAA